CCGTCGGATGGGATCCCTACAATAAATATTTATTATCACTATAATTATTGTTTTCTCTGTTTAGTGTTCTTTATTTGGAAAGGCTTTCTGCGTATTGCCGTATGTCAGTATGGCAGCATTATAGAAGGGCCAAAAGCTATATTCTTAAAATATTTATTTGATTGGGTATCTAAACTTCATAGGTTCTTAATGTTCTTACTTCAATTTTATATAATATTGATGTTGTACGTAGGAACCTAATTATTTATTATTTTATTATTTGTAAATAATTTTGTGTTAACACTTATAATAAAAATAAAGGGTAAGAATACCCTAATATTATTATTTTTAATGTTTAAAATTCGAAGAAAAACAATATTTTTTTTCTAAATCCTGATATAAAAAAAGCTAGAATTGTACCCTCCTCTGGGATACCTAATAGCTAATACCTTGTCCAGGGCATACGAATTAATGTATTAATTAGTATATTACTCCGTGCCAGGGGCCCGCAATACCTAGCCCCGGCACTGACTACTAACAGTATTAGAAACCGCTTCTAAATTCAATAAACACTACTACAAATCTCTTCGCGAACATCCAAACGTTCTTGAGAAAAATCTTTCCAACCCAATGTCTGAAAACCCTCCAAAAAGACTTAAGAGGAAATGGTGCCGCGACCTACTCTTTGAATAACCCACCATAGTAAAAAAAAAAGGCCGAGTGTCGCCAGTGGGTAGCTTCTCCACTCAAGTCTCTCTGTTATATTTTGTCTTCTTTCTAACCATTTATTATGTATAGGTATATTATCTATTATATATTAAATATTGTATGGATTGTATAAGTCAAATAAAAATTAAAAAAAAAAGATTTCCATTTATGAAATTAAATTGATATTGAATAAAAAATTCTTACTCTTAGTCTGAAACAAAAAATATTATTTATATTTTTAATCAATTAAGTTTCCAAGCTTGTGTCAAGCTTTTTCATTTATTTATTATAAATTCAAATTGTAATATGAATTCTAAAAAGTAAATTTTATAGAAATGTTTATTTATTCCAATAACATGATGTACTCAAATAAACTAGACATTTTATTTTTTGTTAAATTGATTTTCTTTTGTCAACATAAATGAGTTATGTATTTATAATTTTAATTGTTATTTCAATGTACTATATTAATATCCTGATTAACCCTATTGAAAGTATTGCCCTAGGAATACACCACTTGTGGTAATTACACAGTGTATGGATCCATATTTAATACATTCATTATTTTTTTTTTAATCTTAATGAAATTATAAATGATTAATTTTTTTTAACTTACAATATGAATATAAAAAATACAATGAAGAATAAGTGTAAGAATTTTACAGGGCTTGATGGCTTGAACAAAGGGGGAGTCGAGTAAAAATTCTTCAGTGTGAAAGGGGTTTGATTTTAACTTTTACTTATTACCAAAAATTATGAATTTAGGAGATCACTTGGTCAAATAAACTTTAAGCGACAAGGAGGATTAAGTGAGAGAGGATAGATTTGATATTCGGGGATTTGAGTTCTCTGACGTCTAGGAGTGGAATTTTTTATAGTGAGTAGAAATAAGTACAGATAGTGTAGGAATATTGACATTATTATGAAGAGTTTTATTGCTTATGATTAGTTAGGATGTTGATGACTGCATTTGTTTCCTTCGATTCTATACAATGCTATTGCTAAAAATCTGTTTCATGCTCCCTTTATGCAGAATATTCTTATTTTAATTTGCAATTTTTTGTTTTTAACTTAATTTTTCATATTTGAGGTCATTTTTTATAGTTATTGTACAATGTGTGGGGTATTTTTCTCAAATTTTAGATTTTAAAGAAAATTTGTATAACCTTAAAAAAAATAATTTTAATATTATTATTGTGGGGTTTTTTGTTATGATTAAATTGATTGTGGAACGATAAGATTTACTGTTTGAGTGTTAAGCAGTAAAAAAACAAGTGCTCTTTCAGACACAACTATTTTTAATACAATTTTTTATTTATATTTTGCTTTTTAATTTATTTTTAATAATTTTATATAGTGCTTAAAATGTAAATGTGAACTATTGTTTATTTATATTATAATAATTCATGTTTTAAATTACTATTATACCCATTATCACACCCATATCTCTAATAAAAATTATTAATTATAAATATATTTTTATCACTCATTTAATTAGATATTTTAGATAATTTTTTGAAGTGCTTAGGGCATTTTTGTGTGTTTTTTGTCATTGACAACCTAGCTCTACTTGTGATTAATTTATAATATTTTTAGTTTCTATGCAAATCAGATTTTAAAATACATAATTATTTATTTCACAATGGTGTGTTTCACTAATGTAAGATTATCTTTTATGTAATTTATATTCCATTCTATAAGTGAAATATTCATTGTATATTAGTATAAAATATACATTGTGTATTTTCATAAATGTTTACATTTGGATCCCAATATAAAGTTTATTAGTTTTGTAAATAATCAATGTATATAAGAAAGTGAACATGTTTTGTTTTTGTACATAAAGTTTAACATTTATTGTTATATCACATGAAGTGTCTGAACATACATAATTCAATGCTTAATACTATTTTTGTTCATAATACATTTTTTGTTTTTATGAAACAAAATAATTATTTAGAACATTCTGAAATAAAAAACATTTTATGTAACTTTTTGGTATTTTATAAATTTCTTTATTCACTTAACACTAGGACAATTTAGGCCATTGACATCGTTCGCTAAACGATACAACATTCAGTATACTGGGCTTTAAAAAATATACTAAAAGAGTAGCAGTGAAGCCGTGTATTTGTCCATCATTTCCAAATTCAACGTCACCTGCACACAACACTTGGAACATTTGAACTTTATCTGGTAACTGCATATCGAGAGTTACAATGTCGATACTGAAGAGTTGATGAGTTGTTGTAGCCATTGTTAACATGGCTTGTTGAATTGCTGAATGGCCTGACATACGATTGCCAAGTACAATAAATGTACCATCTTCTGGGAACAATGTGTGGAGTATATGGCGGTTCTTGTCATAGTTAGCAAAAAAGTCTTGGACAAATTTCAGTATAGTGGATTCATCATTCTCTATATTGTCATTCATACTGTGGTAGATAAAACAAAAAAGTAAAATACAATGTAATGCTTGTAAAAATAAAATATTTTCTAATCACATGTTTTGTGATTGCTTTTTTGATCAATTTTAGTTGGAAGGTTGTTAGCATAGATAATAAAAGAATGGCTAAGCCAAGGTGGAATTATAAATAATATAAATATGTAACTATAAATTAGTATTTATTTTATAAATCCACTTACGTGAGATGAACAGCCGAGTCGCCAACAAGTAGAACCTGAAAAACAAGTGATCTGATAAGTCACAATTTTGGTTGACCGATGGTTCTAATAACATACAATTTATTTTTAACATTAAATCAAGATATAGTTACTGGCACAAATAAATAATTTCCAATGATGAATTAAAATCTTACCTAGTACGTGAGGAGTTGTAATAAATATTGAATAAGCGCTAAATGTATGCTGCCAAGAACATGCTGAATTATACAAGGAGGATATGTAATTTTCAATTTATATCCATGTAAAACAAAAAAGAAGTACAAAATATAATTTAAATTCACTATTTATTTACGAAATTGTTTGGTTTTTTTTATCACTGTCACATTATCAACGGTTTACTGTTTACTTTATTTACTACCTCAGAATATTAGCCCAAGGGGACACCACGATTTAAGATATACAGGTTGCCCATCGGCATAATATGATAAGGTGAATACCAAATTGAGTTCTTCATGGTGCTGGAAATTACAGCAAGGTTAGGTTCAAACTATCAAACTTTTAGGTAAGAACACGCGTGACGGACTACGTTAATATATCTTAGTCCGTGCCTCCGTGGGTAAGAACACTAAGAACCATTATAATGTATTATATCTCTGTGTGTGAAATGAAACAAATCAAAAATGCTCATATCTCGCTTGAAAATTAAAATATTCAAAAATCCGCCAACGCTTAAGCATAGATAATGTACTTACCTATAGGATAACCTATCGGATGGTAGGTCGATTCACTCTAATATCAATTATCAAAACTAACAGCACACTATTGAAACTAATGAATGAAAATGTTTTATGTCGTGCGTGTGTAAGACGGAGACAAAAAAATACAAATGCAAGGGTAGCGTCCTCTTAATATAAGTTATATTACTTATATTTCATTAACCTTTAAAGAGACTTTTTAAGAGTTCAATGGGCACAAAATATAGGATTAACCTGACTATAGAAGAGTTGGAGACAGACTTCAATGATGGGGATGATATTCGTAGTTTTTGTTTACTTCTCAAAGAGTGAGCACCCTAACCTAGAATACTTTTCATATTAACAGTAAATTCATTTGTTCATTTTAGTTGTATATTCGGCACCCCATACTTTATAACTAACAACTTTCCAACCAAAATTGATAAAAAGATCAATCACAAATGATGTAAAAATATTTAAGTCTTACAAGCATTATATTGTTTTTTAATTTTTTTTATCGATATAATTTGGGTGACAATTTAGAAAACAAAGAATCTACTAAATTAAAATTTGTCCAAGACTTTTGATAACTATGAAACAATTGTCATATACTCCAAACATTGTTCACAGATGGTGCATTTATTGTGCTTCGCAATTGTAAAAATTGCCATTCAGTAATTCAACAAGCTATGTTAAGTTAACAATGACTACGACAACTCATCAACTCTTCAATATTGACATTATAAGTTTCTAAATGCCATTTACTGGAAAAGTATCAATGTATAATGTACTTTGTGCTGGTGATGTTGAATTTAGAAATGAAGAACAAATTAACAGTCGGTGCTACTCTCTTAGTATATTTTCTGAGGACCAATATTTTGAATATTGTATCGTTTAACAAACAATGTCAATACTCAATAGCCTAAATTATGTTAGTGTTGAAATGAGCAAATTTGTACAACTCCAAAAAGGTACAACAAAATATTTTTTTATTTCATAATACACTCTAAATGACTATTTTATTTTATTTTTAAAAAAAATGAATGATTATAAATAAAAATAGTTTTGAGCATAAAATTATGTATGACAGACAATTCAATTTTTTTTCACTACACAATATATAATATTAAATATTTAACTTTATATACAACAACATAACATGTTCACTTTCTTATTTACATTGAGAGTATTTATTTAAAAAACTAATAAGCTTTATAATGGGTTTAAAATGTAAACATTTATGAAATCACACAATGTGTCTATACAAATATACAATGAATATTTTTCAGATAGAATGGAAGATAAATCACAGATAAGATAATATTACATGAGTGAAACACACCTTTGTGAAATGAATAATTATGTATTTTAACATCTGTTTTACATAAAAATTCATAATATTATGAATTAATCATAAATAATTTCATTTAGATTTAAAAAAAAAATGTATGAGTACGTTCTAGATCTGAATCCATACACCGCGGAACTACCACAAATTATGTATTCCTAAGGCAATACTTTCAATAGGGTTAATCAGAATATTAATAATGTATTATATCGAAATAACAATTATGGTTAACAATACACAACTCATTTATGTTGACAAAAGAAAATACTTCAATTTAATAAAAAATAAAATGTCCAGTTTAAATTACACATTTTTAAACTTTATGTAATTGGAATAAATAAAAATTTCATAAAAATTTACTTTTTAGAATTCATAATACAATTTTTATTCAAAATAATTTTGAACTTTTTTTGGTACTCATATAAATAATACAAATACTCATACAAATAATAATAAAATAAAAATAATACCTAATAAAAAAATATATAAATGCAATTAATAAAGTAATTAAAAAAACTTATTTTCTTCTAAAAACATTTTTGGAAAACTAATTTATAATAATTAATGTACTATAAAAATTAGCTTCATAATATTAGTAAACAAAAACATGGGTCCAACATTTTCAATTCATGTAATTATATTAAATTATAGACCATTTTACTTGATGTAACTATCTACTTTGTTATTTAGTTATTCAAACAACTAATATTTCAACAATGGTTACTTAATTAACAACTATTACAACAAAAATAAATTTAATATTTATTAACATGATATTTGAAACATAACAAATTATTGAGAACGAATTTCGTAGAACTAATTTGAGTATATGAAACACAATGTTACAAATATCTATATAATTCACAAAAATTGAAAATATACCCAACTTGTTTAACGATTTATAACTTTTTCAATATGGCGTAACATTTATTTGTACATTACTTCTATTTACATTAAAAAAAAAAAAAATAGATAGTAAATCATAATTTAAGGATAATTAATTTTGTTTTTAGATCACAGCACTTACTCGTTGTTCACGAAAAAATAAATTATAAACTTATGAATAAATGGAAAAGTTTGACACAAGTTTGGGAACTTAATTAATAAAAAAAAGAAATAATTTTTTTGTTTCCGACTAAGAGAAGGAATTATTTTGAATTACAATTTAATTTGACAAATTTGAAATGTAGAATAATAATAATAAGATGATATTATAAGGGCCATTCAACACAATATATGTTATAGATGAATACAAAATGTAATAAAAATAAAAAAATAACTTAACATAAATGTTATACATAAAATAGTTTCTGTAAATTATTTAGTCATGGTAAAATAATTAGTTAATTATAATAAACTACAATGAATTGTTAAAAAAAATACATTTTCACTGAGTAAATATATACACACAAATATAAAAAATAAAATAAAATAATAATAAAAAAGAACAAGATGTAATAGAAGTTGGCAATTAAATAAGAAATAAACTCACTCGTTTAGTATAAATTTAATTTGTTATTTAACAATATAACTGAAATTCTAAAGAAGTATCAATAAAGAACAGAAGTACAAAATAACCACAACTCTGATCGTAGTACAGTCTTTACGTTAAACAAACGTTTTTCTTTTTTACAAGGCTACTAAAAAAATTAATAATAGTAATTAAAAAAATAAAATAACAATGATATAGCACCAACTAACCAACATACAATGGAAAAAATATAATACAAAACAACAAGCTATACAAAAGTAACAGCCTTTGGGATAACTTAAGTATTTTATCAAGTCTTAAATAATAAAATACACCCATAACTTTATGTTTAAAAAATACAAAACAAAATGCATTATAAAGTTAAATGAATGTACTATGTTCAAACCATAATTGGATCCTCATCGCTATCCAATGTATTATTATTCGAACGTTTAGATTTTTTCGTAGTATTTTTCAGTTTAGTTTTGCGACTACTACCAAGTGTATCTAGAAACAATTAAGAAAAAGTAGCATAAATAAATATTTTTTTTTTGTTTTGATAATACTTAAGATTGCGACAGTCTGTATTGCACAGGGTCAATACTAAATTGTGATTATTTGTAACATTATTTATTTTTGTATTATATAGTACCATTAATATGCATATAATAACGATGATAATCAAAGTATTTATTAGAAAGTTTACAAAAATTAGAAACTCACTTGTGTCAACATCATCTAAACTTCCATCATCAGTTGATAAGAGATCATCATCTGAATTTGTGCGTCGCAAACTTGGTAAATTAGAGGTCAAAAAGTCTTTCTCTTTCTTGATTTCTTGAATTTGTCCAACTAGCATTTTTTCTTCTTCGTCCATTTTACTGGGTCCTTCGGTTGGTCCATACACCTAAAACATTTGATGGTTTAATTTTCAGCAACTCTATAAATTTAATAATGTACATACTTTTGAAATACGTAAAGAAGATAACCGATGTGTGGCTGTATGATGTGCAGTATCTAATGTATCAATGTCAGCTAATGTTGATTTGATTTTATCCATTTGGTGGCTAATTATAGAACTGATGCAAAGAGTCTGTTGTTCAATATCTCTAAGTGATTCTTGTGCAGGAACTAATTTATTTGTTCTTAATACACATGGCGCAAACACTATGGCCAATGAACTAGCATTCATGCGGTTTACATTTTCGTGCAATGCAACCCTGAAAAAAGAAAAAAAAGAGTTGTCAAAATAAATTCAAGAAAAAGTTACGATAAAATAATTACCTAGCAAGATGAAAAACAAGTCTTTCCATTAAATCGTAGTTGACTTTTGGTAATTTTTTCAAAATGTTAAACAATGTTGAGACACGATCTTCTGATAGACTAGCAGCACGAATAAAATCATCATAACAATCAAATGTTAATAATGGTTCTGGCATGTCACGTAAAAATGACTTCAATACACTGGCCAGTACATGAACCTGTTGTACATTGTTAAACATATTTTTTAAATTTAAAGTTCACATTATATACCAAATAAACAATATCTATTTGTTGTTAAATAATGTAGGCAGCATATGATAAGATTTTTTTTATTAAAATTTGAAAAATGGCTAAAAGTATAACTAGTTTTTTTTCACAAAGAATATTAACTCACCTGATATTTTTCAAATTCAATTTTGCTTACGTCATTATTGTCAATGAGTTCTTTAAGTTCATTTACACGTGTTGTAAGCTATAATATGATTCATAAATCATCCATTATGATATAATCTATTAATTATATAAACTTAATGCTGAATATTTGTTTAAAAACTTACCCCAGGTTTGCGGTAAATGCCTTCTGTGTACATTCCATACATTTCAATAATAGTTATAAGACATTCAACAACAGCTGGAACTTTACCCATGCTTAGATCCAATTCACCTAAAGGACGTCCAAAAACTTTCCCTTTAACAACACAAATCCCCTTTGACTGCATGTTGGCTGTAGAAGAGTTCATGTCTTTTAAACACTCAAGATTTGCACGAGTATAACATTTTTTATGACATGTCAATTTACAATCTACAAAAGAAAATTAAAATTATATAGCTGTATAAAAATATTTTCAATTGTTTTAAAAATATCAAAGTTTTACTCACTTCGACATACCAAACTTCTTTCAATTGGCCATAAAAAGAATGAAGTACAAACTTCACAAGCTGTAGGAATGTTTATCATACTCATTTGTAACATGTGCCCACCGTGATTAATATGGTCTTCAGATTTCTGTTTTTTCTGTTTTTTACGTTTTGTTTTACTAGGCTTTTCTGTTTCAACTCGATTTTGACTCATAAACTCATTCATAAAACCACGAAATGCATTAACACAAAGAGTCACTGGAAAATCATCTTGGATTTTCTCATTTCCACAAACAGTTTCTATCACCTAAACATAATTTTAACATAAGTTCATGTACATAAATTAAAAAATACAATATCTTACGTGTAAGAAGTTGGCAATTAGATCTTTATATTTAATATTGAGTACTTGACCGTTTCCTTGTTTATTAGCAACGCTATAAGTTGCAATAAGATTTTCCTTAAATTCCCGTAATGCCTGTTTAAATATTCTATCAACTTGGGATGGTTTTTTAACTTCTTCTCGTTCAATTTTGTACAGCTAAAATTAGATAAAAAAATTGAAATTAAATTAATATACCTAATGATTTGAATAATTTGATGGTGTAGTTTGGTAATTGTATTAGAATATGCAAAAACAAAAGGAAGACAGTTGTATTTTAATACATAATTTTATGGGATTTACGTGGGTCACTGAGGTGCATATGCTAGTGTTGTATTACTTTGTGATATTAAATTTGAAAATAATAATAAAAATTACTTCAAGAAATAAATGTAAGTAGGACTAAGTTAAAAATCATACTTGTTAATCTTCTTAATTTATTTAACCCATTTTTTAATATTTGTTCTTTTCAGAGATATTTGAAATTTTTAATCAATTTAATTAATTAATTTTTAATATCTGATAATAAGATACAAATCTTTCCTAATTAAAAATAAAATTTGAGCATTGTACAGTTCAAGTATACTAGTATACAGATGATAAATTATCATGTATCCCATATTGTGACCCACAAGCAATAATCAATAATGATTATTATTAATTAGTGATATACCTTACAAATAACCTATAATACATTATAATATATTACCTATAATAACCTTACAACCAATATTCAATGAAACAAAAATATTTATTGATGTTATAAGTACAATTGTTCAATGTTGAACTTTATATTAACTGTGCATTTGTAAGACACAACTGGAGTGGGGGGGTTATGACTGATATCTTCTTAGGTATCCTATTTTATAAAAATTTGTGAGCCAAAACACTTAAAAAAAAAAAAACTGTAACTAGTATCACAGTATTATATGTATTTTTGATATTTCTTAACTGTAACACAAGAATAAAAAATATCCAAACTTCCACTAAGTGAAATAATGATACTATGGGCCTTGTATGTTAATGACCCGAAGGCACAAGAGGCCTACAGTTTTTTTTAAAAAAACTTTATTAAAAAAATTAATTATAAAGTATACATAAAATAAGTTTTCCAAAACGATTATTTAGTATTTAAATTAAATGAACATTAAAATTAATGTTTTTCACAATAAATAATTTTTCTTCCAAATCTAGGAAAGAATGCATCTACATGAAAGAATCATGTTTGTTGTTCTCGAGCGAAACGATTGGCTTTTGTGTGGGGTATGGAATTCGGTCAATTTTAAATTTTTATTTTCGTGTAACTTATTTCACATTTTGCTAATAACAAAAAAAGTGCCTATCAAGGTATCCACTGATGTGTGATGTGGTCATTATAGTGGATATTTTATGATACATTTTATAATATACAGAGGCGCCAGCAGAAAATCAGCTCAGTGGGTGCAAAGTTAAATTTATGTGTTACATACATAAGTAATCACATATTTGCAATACTACACACTGATTTTTTGGTTCATTAAAAAAATCCCAGTGGGTGCAAGGTGGGCACCCACTGGCTCCTCTCTGTAGGTGCCCCTAATAATATATTATTAGTAATACTGTACATAGTAGGTTGAACTAATAATTAATTGTTGACAAAACTACAAAAGTATTAATATAATACATTATTTCACAAATAATCGTTATTATTTTAAAAGCCAACATCAAATATTCCATAATATAGAATCTATATTATGACATTTTTAAAAACAAAATAATTTGTAATTTTAGAGTATGATGTCAAAATTTAAACATTAATGTTATTTTATAACTATTGAAGAACAAGAAAAATCGATTTTGTTGATTTTTTTAAATTATTAAAAAAAATATGAGAATACCGAGAATTTTATACTGTTTTTACCGCTAAGTATTAACTAAATAAAATTTGCTACTAGAAACTACGCTCGATGTTGAAGAATGAAGCAAATTTATTGTTTAAAAATCTAAGATCAGCTACAAAAAAAAATACAAAATACAAAAGGGGGAAAGTAGGTAACCCTTCTACTGTACAATAAGTGTCAAGCGTACCTTGTTATTGAGTAAATCATTGTTCTGTGACTGTGAGAGTTAAATTGGAATTAAATGATAAATAATTGCATACAAATAATGCATGAAAGAAGACTGTCATCTAGTCTCTGTCAGTCAATACTACAGGTATATTATATATGTTTTTTATTATTGAAATTAAAGTGAAATCTATTTTATTATTAGTGTTACGGTAATCGGTAGGATGATTTAATCACATTTTATTAAATTCCCAAAACATTTTGTTTATTCTATTATTAATATTTAATTATTCTATTTAAATAATTTATTTTTGTTATTAACTGTAGAGTCAATAAATAACAGTAAAAAAAGTTGTAAAGTAACAGTATGAGTAGGTTCATGGTATAGACAATAGCTTAAAAGTAATCCCAGTATAATGAAAATATTACTGTGTTCCAATGCAAAATGTAATAATATCAATTTAAGTTTCTAGTCTTTACGGATATTATTTTGAACTAGAACAAAATAATTAAAATGGTTTGTACTTTGTTTAAATATCTAAAAAAAAAATTGTGCTTGTATATTTTTTGGTTTCAGAGTCAACTACTATTGAGAATCATTGCATTACATTTTGAAGCTTTAGCTATACAAATTAAATATTTTTAAAATTTCTAACTACAAAATAATTTCAAATTGTCGTGTTATAGAAGAATTTTGTCAAAATTTGATATACAAATGCTTATAAAAAAAATATCTAGTTTTAAATAGCTATAATAATTACTAATGAGAAACTTTGTAATACATTTTTAGGCTCTATACCAATACATGATTTTTATCAACATTTAAAGAAAAAAATCGAAATTTTCATATTCCTATAAATAGGTCAAGGAGAGACGAAATATTTTGAAAATTATAGTATGTTCAGAAAATGTTACATAAACATGAAATAACAATTTTAAGTATTTTCTGTTTTTTTTTGTATTGCAATAAAATAAGAAAATTGTTTGATAGAAAATAATTGATTTGTCAAAAAATCGTTTTTTGTAAAATTCCTGATTTTCCATAATTTAATTTTGTTTTTCAAAAGTAAGTTTAAGTTTTTTAAAGTACTAGACACTTCCCATTTTGGTCTCTCAAAAGTACTAAATTGGATCAATTTGCTATCCGAAACCACCCTTAGTTGAAGATCGAAGAATTTTTTCTATTTTAAATTGTGCAGGTATATACATAAAATAAACCATGTACTGTAAAATCAATACATTAGTCGCTCCATTCAGAATGTAGAACACTTATCATTGTATAAAAAACACATTTTTTTGTATTTTAGAAATTATAAAATGTAAAATGTAATGTGTTTCTTCAGAAACGCCAATAACCATGGTAATCGAAGCGTATTTTTAAATTAAAAAAAGAAAATACTAAAAATCAGTTTTAACCTAAGTCTAAAATAAATAGCCTATACGCTCTTGGGTACAATAAAAAAGCATTCTAAAAAACAGTTAATTATCAAAATTATTAGGCAATTCAGTGAAAGTAGGCCACACATACAATTTGAAAATTACATCTTAGGTTACGTCGTCTAGAAAAACATTATTGACTCCAAACTTTAAAAATTAATTTGACAAATTACTTAAAGCATAATAATAAGCTTAGGTGTTTAGAGTTTAGACAATTAAATATAATAGTCATCGTATAAAATCAATTATTTTAAATCAAATAATGCCTTTAAAAAGTACCTATACGAAAATGGATGTGCAACATTTGAACTTTGAGCATAAAACATTTAATTATTTATAAAAACCGATAGAAATATATGATAAAAAATCAATAGCTAAAGGAAAAAACACGCAAACTAACCCCTCTGGATATTTTAAAAAACTTTAATTATATATTTTATATATAGGGTGGTTCTTAACCTAATAGTATAATAATGCAATATTTTAGATTATTTTGGAATTGATACGTACAAAGCTTTGTATTTTAATCGTTAACACACTATTAACAAAGTGGAATACCACACCAGTCCGCAAAATTGTCGAAATATGTTTGAATTTGTTTTTAAATATAACGCAATCATCAAAGAAGGTTCATTTCTTAAATTATCTTTGCATAATTAACAGTTAGATTTATTTTACGACTGTTTTTAGTACCTACATCAAACAAGTTGATAACTTTTTTGGAGTGACCATAGATTATATTATTATGTTAACTTTGGATGGGTATGAATTAGAAAAAATCTATTATTATTACCTAATATTGAATAATGTATATACTATATACTATATAGGTACAGTTAATGGTACATGTCCAATGTCCATGCAATTTAAAAAGCTCCCTTTTTCAAGATTTAAAATTTATATTATATTTCTAATACTTTTAAAAAAAAGTTGTGAATATTTTTAAAGTAAGCGTATAATTTACGAATAAAACAATGTAGGTCGTCGAATAATGGAAGGGGAAGTATAATTATCGGTCTAAAAGTTGAGGGTTATCGTTACTAGTTTGTAAAAAAGTGGCAGCACAGTATTCACAGTCCGAATTCTTCTCATTCCTTGTTCGCAGCTTGACTTGGTTAAACTATTTTTCAAAGTAATATAATTTATCAACAGTAATACGTGCGGCAATATATTTTTGTAAAATGTCAAATAATTCTGCCATGGGATTGTTTATGATGTCAAATCCAGTGTTCGAATGTTATGCATTTTACGGTAGCATTCTTATTTTTAAAATGATTATGATGTCTTTTCTAACGGTACTTCAGCGATTTCGAAAAAAAGTAAGATTTAATTACGTTTTCTTTTAGTTATAAAAGTATTTATATTCAATATATAAATTTAATTATTTCAAATAAAACATATTTAAAGTTAGTTAGCTCTATTTAAATCATTTTTTTTTTTCTTCAACAGCATACTTTCTGGTAGGAAAATGAATCTAGTATGTATTTTACGGACTCAAATGTAAAAAATTGTCATAAAAAATGGTTTTTAATTGCCTTGAAAGCCTTTTTGAGTATTTGAAGTTAAAATGTTCTCAAAATTCATCAAAATCACGAAAATTAGAAAATCATTTCGAGTTACAAATTTATACATTATCTATGTATATCAAAGTTTTGAAAATGTAATACAAGATTCCACTAACTCCTCTAATGAATTCTTATTTTTTCATTTATCAAAAATTAATAATCCTAGGTACTTGAAATTTTCATCAAATGTTTATTTTATAATTTTAAACGCAGATTTTTCAAAATATTTCGATTTGTTTTAAGTTGTTTATAGACATTTGAAATTTTTCCGATTTTTTAGTCTATTAGTCCCAATAAAATTTTATTTTTTGGCCGAAGAGCTTGAAAATTGGGTACAAGGTTTCTAATAAGTTGTTATAACTGTAATAATAACACGGTCATTGTTTACAGACATCTTAAATTAAAATTTGGACGAAATTACGAAATATTAAAACCAAGAATAAAGATTTTAGTTATTTTGTTGTAATTTAAACATATTATTTGAGGATACTTGAAACTTGCGAAGTATATTCTTATATTGTATGCTCACAAAGACATTTTAAAATATGAATTTAACATACTGTAGAACTAATACAGTAATACCTAATAGTAATAGTAAAATAAATTTCCTTAATTACAATATATCATAAAATATAGCTACTTAGTAATATTACTGGCTGACAGATAGCCTTCGCTCAGAATCGTTTTTTGTATACAATGATTTTATACATTATATCATTAAATTAAATTTGAAAACATCCATTACAGTGACTCTTTATATAGACGCCTAATGTACAGCAAAGCGTTACACATTTACCCGCTTTTTTAATTGTTTCAAAATTGTTATATTTATGCACCGATTATCTACATATTAATCTATATATAACGTAAAATAAGATGGATTCAAAGAGGATCAAACCCTCGAAACTGTTAAAAATTAATCTATTTTTAATTCAAACGTACTGATTGCTAAATATATTTATAATAAAGAGAGAAGGGTTTTAGAAACAAGTTCAGATACTCCATTTTATGTTTTTTATATCCTATTTAACATTGTTTATCAAATTTGGACTAACACTTATCAAAATTATAACATTTACAAGTTACTCAATAGTGAATTATGTTTCTTCAGTTAAAGAAACTCAAAAAGTTATTATCATAAGATCCAAACTTTTTTTTTTTTTTATTACTTTATTGGAAATATACAATCTGTACCTATGAGGCACAATAAGTACATGCGATGAGAGATACATATATATATACAATTAACATTAGTACAAATACTAACCTAAACATATATATTTACATGAGTACACGGGTTGTGAGAAGCCATCCATCAATGACACTCACTGTGGGTATTTATTGTTTTTTTTTTTTTTTTTTTGCTATTTTTTCTTTTTACTTTCCTTTCCTTTGTTTTTTTTTTTTTTTTTTTTTTTTTTTAAGTTGGATAGGGCGGGATGAGAAGGTCACGGCACCAATTGCGTTTTAGACGCCTAGGAGGATTGCCAGGTATGGTCGGGACTGCGAGATCGCGGATTAGTGGATTACTGTTGGCGGACAGACGGTTATGAAAACGCTTATAATGTGCTTTAGCTTCTTCCTGGACAGATTTCATTTTCAAGTCAGAGTGGATAGTGCTGTTCGAGATGTAAGGTGGTGCATTGAGTAGTTTCCTGAGGGCTAGGTTTTGGAAGGTTTGGATCTTATTAAGGTTAGATTTTTTAGCATTACCCCATAGCTGGATGCCATATGTCCATACAGGCTTTATTAGGGATTTGTAGATAAGTAGTTTTGTATTTAGGTTAGTGTGTGTGTTATTATTAATGAATGTTTTGAGCAAACGAAGACGAGCATTAAGATTTAGGCGCTTAGATTTTATATGATGAGCCCAAGTTAACCTACGATCTAGGATTAGACCGAGGTATTTTACCGTTTGAGAATTGGGTATTTGGGAGCCAAAGATGGAGACAGCAGGGCAAGGTAGAAGTCTAAGAGTGAACGTAGTATGCACAGATTTAGTTTGGTTTATTTTTAACCTCCATTTAGTGTACCAGTCTTCCATGAGACATAGATGATTTTGTAGGTGGCTAGAAGCTGTGGTGGGATCAGGACTTGTGGAGATAATTACCTTATCATCAGCATAGTCAGCGACTTGAGTGTGGGGTGTGATAGGGTGGTCTGAGGCGTATATATTGTAGAGCAAAGGGGAAAGAATGCCCCCTTGGGGGACACCCGCTGAGATTTTGGCTATGGATGAGAGGGTATCCCCGATACGAGTGCTGAAGTGTCTATCAGAGAGATAAGACTTGATGATTAGAAAGAGGACCGGATGTAAAAATTTCTTCAGTTTGTATAAGAGCCCATCATGCCAAACCCTGTCAAAAGCCTGAGATATATCTAGAAAGGCACATGTACAGTATAATTTTTTTTCTAGTGCAAATGAGATTGAGTCTACCAGTCTGTGGGCTTGATGAATTGTTGAGTGTGCATTGCGGAAACCAAACTGGGAGTCAGGAAGAATGGAATTTGACGTAACGCTTGGCAAAATACGCTTTAATAATAATCTTTCTAGGATTTTAGCAAAGAAAGGCAAGATCCAAACTTAACATAATTATTACGTTGAAATCCGTTTTCAAGAACACATCATAGGATCAAATGGCGGAATAAAAATTGATCAAATTAGCCTAAAATTGCCTATACAGAACTCCTTAAATTAATGACACATTTCAAATCCCCGACGCTTTAGAGTAGCCAGTACCGATGCATTAGATGTTTCCGTCTTACAAACGTATGACAAACCAACTTTGCGTTCATTAGAATCGATAATGTGTTGTTAGCTTTGATAAGGAGTGAATTTACCAATAATTAAACTTAAAGGTAAGAACATTAACTGGGCTTAAACTTCAGATATTTTCAAATTTTTTTAATTTTTTAACAAGATATGAGTATGTAAAATATTACATACCTAATATTAATAATTAAAATATCGAAAAAATCCGATCCTTACCTTAAACTTTAATCGGTCAAATCACTCTTATGCTAAAACTACAACACAATCGATTCTGATCAACAACAATTTAGTATGCAGACGTTTGTAAGACAGAGATAATTTAAATCGGATTTGTATTAAATTACATGGCCTGTTTATAAAATTTTTTTAGCCAATCCTAAAATCAAATTTTAAATTAAAAAAAATGTAAAAAATATTTATTCTAGTAACCATTATTGTATTTAATAGATTTTCATAAGTCCAGAAGATACTGCAATCAGCAAAGGAGGCGGGGAAATTAGATATGATGATCCAGATGTCGAAAGAGTAAGAAGGTAAAATTATGAATGTTAACCGTTTTACAAATAACTGATAATTATATGAATACAATTTTTTTTATATACATTTTAGGGCACATTTAAACGATTTGGAAAATATACCTATATTTTTAATCACTGGATTACTTTTAGTTGCAAGCAATCCTCCAGAAATGATAGCGAACAATTTGTACAGAATTTATACATTTGTAAGAATAATGCATACAATTTCTTATGCTGTGTTCGTACTACCCCAACCTACAAGGGCAATATTATTTATTGCAGGAGCAGTTATAAATATTATTATGGTAGCATATGTTATTTTAAGTATGCATCATTTTTAATTTATTTACTTGTAAGCAACTTTCACAACAATTTCGTTTAGTGCACATAATTAATAATTGTAATATTACATAAATTATAAGAACAATCCTTAATAAATATTTTAGGTAAATAAATTATTTTGTTTATGTGAAGTTTTTCAATATGTACCAATAATCATGTTACTTTTATTAAGATTTGACAAAAAATTCACATAAATGCAATTTATCATTAATATTTTAATTTAAATATAATAGAGTATGACACACGTGTGTGATGTGTCACAATTGATTTGTTTATTAAGTCTATTAGAATTTTCTATTTAAATTTTTGAATGGTATAAATTTATTGATTGATACATATTAATTTATATGGTTTTAAGAAGATCTGAAAATATGTAGTTTTATGTGAACTGATAATTAATTACCGATGTAAATTAGTATTATTCACAATGGTTAACACAGCAGACATCGCAATTGGGCTACCAGAGTTTGTCATAGGCAATTTTCTTTTTAAATTAAACTTATAATATTAATAATAATCTTAGTTATATAATATAAACTAACCTTTTTGGTTATAAAATCTTGCATCATTTTAAGTTCACGCACGTCAGATATAATCTTGTCCGTACGGTCTGTGAATTCTGATGTACCAGTTAAACTGAATTTCCCTACTGTAGTATTATTTTGATTATTTGCTATGTTTGGTGTTATATGAGCTTTATTGCCACCAAGAGCAGGCTTCCTAGGTTTTCTTCGGTTGGTTGGTCGATTACTTCCATTTTGTTGTATACATGGCATTTGTAGTACACCGCCATTTTGAATACATTTTGTATGAAATAACTTTTTACAATCTGAAATACAATAAATTGTTTATCAACAATTGTATAAGAAAATGGTACGAAAATCCAACAACCACGTGATAAATTAAAAAAAAATTGTTTTTAAGACTATTATGTTTAGCATACACAATGTAATTGTTTTTTCTCGTAATTACTAATATGGTTGGGCGAAGTGAAGCATAATCCTACAATCCCCCAGTTTGAATGCAATTTAGTATTTATCTGCTCCTAAACTAGTGTACTGATTTTCATGAAGCTTGAACTATATATTCATTAATATCTGAAAGGTACTACATAGATTAAGTTTGGCATTTCTAGATGCTGCTGTTAGTAAATCTTCATGGGACTTTCAAACCACAGTGTAGGCGTACAGAAAATAAAATATTAATTATGATTGTAAATGTATGCATACTTAATTAGTGATCAACTGAATATTTCATTAATGACAAAAAAAATAAATAACAAATTTACTAAAACATTTAAATTACCTGAGCACTTGTGTCCTTGAGTTAAAAAGGCATCCATCAATTTATTGCAATAAGTGCATTTATCTTGAGGAGTAAATCTTCCTAATTTCCTAAACCGATGGCCAGCTATGGTAAACATGGTAGTGCCTTTCCATTCCAAAAGTTCAAAAGACGGTGAATATGTTAATTTTGGTTCATCTGATTTTCCTGAGTGTGTGGTTGAGCCATCACTGTTTCTTCTTTTTAATTCTTTTTCATTTGTAATGGAATTGCTATTATAAAGATTATACTAGTTAATATAGTTTTTGTACAAAATAAAATAATATTATAAAAAAAATATACTTAAGTTAAATCATAATAGCTCAAGACTCAAGTAACTTTTTCTTAATTCCATGACAACAATAAATAATTTCAAGAAAAGACAAAGTCTTAACTTCAAATTAACCACCTTTAAATGGTACACACTTACATTTATAGACCTTATACTACTAGACAAGAACTGTGTAAACTACAGCATTACGAACGATGTAACATCTCGCAATGATGTAGGCTGTCTCCACAAAAAAGTACAGTGACCTGTTTTGATGACAAAATACAAAATACAATCTCATAGATAAGAAACATCCACCTCAATGCTTAGTTTGCAGAGCACACTCATTCTGTTGAACACATATTTTTTAATATCAAAGATATATCTAATTAAGGTATAAACTTTAACTTCCAGAAACCCTAACACCTTCAACAAAAGCAGTCCAAAATACTAAATTTTTTTAAAAAAAAACTGATCTGCGTCAACTGATTTACCATAACTTTAACACATTGATACCGACTGCTAACATCTTTTTAAGGTTCTCATCCCAATGTATACATAAAATAATAACGTATAATAAATGAAAACTGCTCTCCTATTTTTATACTTCCAAACAGTGTATGAACAGATATTTGTGTTACATAATGTAAAAAATATAGTTTAATTGAAAGGTAACTTTATTGTTGATGCCATACGAGTAAATATATTTTAAAAAATCGCCTTAAAAAAGCTAGAAGTATGAAAATACTTGTGCTATCTGTTAGTCATTAGACATTCGGTAATTTGTTTTAACTGTACTCAAATATTTTTTTTATCTTACTCTGGAGCTGGTTCAGTATTGGATACACGAAGTCGACCCAATAAACGGACTGGAGGATTTGGGTCGGAGGTAACATGAGGAGTTCTAGTAAGTAAAGTGCGTTTATTAGAATCACTGGTTCGTTCTCTTCGTCTCCAAACAACTGGTGGTTTCATATGATTATCATCTAATTCACTATCGCTAAATGCTGTTCCTTCATGAGTTGGACCATCAGTCTTGTGAAAACGTTCTATGAAGTTGAAAAATATTTTTTTTTATTCAAAATAAATTATGACACTAAGGGCCAGTTGTACCATCTTCGATTAAAGTTAACCGAAGTTTAATTGGCAGATTTTGGCTAATTATAAAATCTGTTATCAGCTGATTAAGTGTAATCGAAGTGTAACTGTAGATGGAACAACTGGCCCTAACAGTTCCTACTTTAATACTGTAATCGTTATTAATAATACATTTTTCATAATATGAATATATATATAATATAACATAGATATGATAACTAAATACTTAAATTAATCATATAAACAAATGAAAAAATGGTTAGAAGTATAATAAAATGATAAGGAAATTAAAAATAATTTTGTTACAAAATAATAAATATAAATGTATTTTTTTTTGTGTTTGTAACAATTAAAGTAATGCAAAAATTATATTAAAGATTAAAAAGTGATAATGAATGGTAGTGAAAAAATATAATTTTTGTATAGTAACAACTTTAAAGAAAACTGTTATATTATAAAAAACTATTAGTACGAGAAAGGTCTTTCAATATTAGAAATATCTGAAATAAAAATTGAGTCTAATATATTTGTTTACACATTTGATAAATTTCTGTTATTTTGATAATTAAATAGTTTAATCACGAAAAATAATAATAAGTATGAACAATGTATTATTTTCATTCAGAACCCTCATTTTATTTATTTCTACTTTCTATTTGATTTGATTCAAGAACATTTTACATTATATAAGAGTATACTTCACAAATGTAAAAAGAATGAATTCTATCTGTTTTAAAATAAAATACTGATAATTAAATATCTATACCTTTATTATGTGCATCAGTTGGGTGGGATTCTATTCTTAGACGAGATGAGACTTTTCTTTTTGGGGCTTTAAATTGTTCTTCTCTGTATAAATTAAAAATAATTAAAAATTTAAGTGTCTAGAAATTTTAAATTAATTAAATAGTTTTCATACTTAATATTATTAATCATATTAGGTTGTACAAATGGATCTGCTTCCGATTCACTGTCACCTTTTGCTCCTCCACTACTTCTACAAATGAAAAAAGTATAAATTATGTTAATTAAAATGCAATTATTATTATGTAAATATTTAATAAACTTAATTATTTACTCAGAATCGTGCAGTTCTTCTTGACTAGATTCTTTAGAATTACTTATTTGAGGAGCTGAAACACTCTTCCTCTGGAAATATTATATTAGTATTAAAGTTATAATTATAATATTTCTTAAATATATTAAAACGACATACCGTATTTTTTATTTTTGAAAATTTTTGTCGGGCTAAATAACCCCGAGAATGGGCTTGTAAAGTAATAACACTTCTTCGTAAATTCTTATACCAGCTTGCTACCCTATGTTTTCGCCATACAGACTGTATATAAACAGCTGCTGATTCATCCATTCTCATTTTATTAACTAACCGTTGAGCTAATATCATTCTCCACCAAGACTACAATAGGAAATCAAACATATTATATTCAAAAAAATAAAATGTTATACGTTTAATTATACTTGTAACGTTTCTGTAGCCCATGTAATTCTAAGATACTGTCTTCGTTGTAATAGTGTACGAAACCAACGTTGTATAGTTACAATGCTTGCCATTATTTGTTGGTGAAGTCTATAATCAAGTTTTAATTTTTCGCATTCTCGTAAAAATACCTTTGATTCGCCAATTTGATAATTATCTCGATCTAAATTTAATGTTTGTAAAAAATTTCGAACATCTTGAGAGTTACTATAACATAAGGTTAATTCGACAAAATTAGAATTTGATTAAAAACATTACAAACATATTTTTTTAATTTTTTACCTATTAAGTCCTTTAGGTAGTAATATTCGATAAAGTTGGACAAATTCTTCATAACTAAGTCGTACATTATAACCAGCTTGTCGAATTCTCACAGTTTCTAACATTCCTGTATAACGTAATTGTCTTTGAACAGTATCATGATCAAACATATTTGCAACCTATATATTATAATATTAATAATGAATTAAAATGTAAATAAATAGTTTGAGAAATTATTTAAAAGACTCACTTTATTACTATTACTTTTAATACATCGAATAAAAAAAGGATTTGCTTGATTAAGAGTATCCATAAGACTATTTAAAGACATTTGAAACTGAGCAGTTACAGTAAGAGGTTGTTTACGAGCTTTACTGTTAATTGAACCCTGTACTTGTATTCGTCCAGCTAGTGTTTTGACACTTTGAAGATTTTTTAATCCTTTATTACCACGGTCTTTTGGTCTAAAAGATTTATTTTTCCTGCAACATATAATATTTTATTAGCTATAAAAAATAAAGACAAATATTTATAAAACCATCTATAGACATTTAATGTGTGTGCATGTAAGTGTGTTAACATAAAAATTATAAAATATGTTTATACGTAAAAACTTCTATTTGTTAGTAAATAATTGAAAGAAATACAAAGCACAAGATCAAAGTATACAGAGACAAAGTTTAAACAATATTATTAAAATAAATAACTATGGAAAAAATATACATTTTTATCCTTATTCATAATTATTATTTATAAATACCTAACACATTTATTTTTAGAAGTAATCAAAAGTAAATTATATTTTGTTTAAAAATGTATATTTATACGAGTAATATATGAAAGGTAATAATAATAATTTTTTGGGAAACATTTTCACCATAAAGAATATAATTAATCAACCTAATAATATAGATGAAAAATAAAACCTGGCTTCTAATTATTTACAGAATATGATTTCAAACCATGCACATGCTTAAATAATACAATGTACTAACTAATCATATCCCATGCTTAATAAACCGTATTATATTTAAGTAAAAATATATTTATAATATTAAAAAGGAAATTATAACTTCATAAAAGTAATCATATGTTTTAACTTATAATGTTGTCATGTTTTTAGAGTATTGTTTGTTTATTGTACAGCATAGATAAAATATAAGATTCCCATTTCAAGAGTTTTTAAAAATTTCCGAAACCATCCGAACACCAAGTTTTAATATGTTTAATTTTTGGAAACATACATAACAATTTGTGTAGCTCGTTCAATAACTTTATCTTCATCTGTAGATTTACAATTGGCACGAGTTTTTTTATCTTCTTTATTAATAATTTGATTAGAATTAACAGTTTCTAAGTTTGAAAATTTATTGAAAGCTGAATGATTTTTATATATATTATGTTCATTGTTTGGGGCAGATGCCAATTTTTTACCCACATAAAAAACATATCCACTTCCATATGATGTAGAATTTACGGGAAATTTTGGAGTGTACCTGTAAATATTATGTTAAATAACAAAATGCTAATTTATTTTGTATAAATAACAATAAACAAAAATCAAACTTCAATCCATTCAGAGCTAATATGTGAAAAAAATAATATATAAATACTGTAACTTTAAATTTAAATAAAACTGGCTCAAAATAAACAATAGAAGCCACATATAATATGTCTTAACAGTACATAAATGAATACATATTATAAATAATAAATATATTTAGATATATTAAAATGATGAAACATTTTAAGCAGTAACAACAGAATTTAAACTTAACTTACACTATACGGTTTATGGTGAGGTTTACCGATGACATTGTTACTAGATGACTGGATGTGGCATAAAAATTAATATTCAGTAATAATTAAATTTATATTAACTTATAATTATACATGAAAAATATATCTTTCAAATTCCAAACATACCTAACTTAGATTATTTTGATTTATGATTTTAAGATAGTAAATTAAATACAGCATTTCAATTTTTTGATTTAAGTCATCTTTTAAAATGTTTGAAGATGATTAGGAACTGTTAAAATCAATTAAAAATAGTAACACAATTTTATTCGAAATCATAAAAAAATTTAATAGTTGTAAAACAATTGAATATAAATAACCTAAACTGAATTAAATATAGCTTATTCAATCTTGGAATGTTTGTTAATCAATGTATTTTAAGGATATAATATATTTAATTAAAGTCAGTCTGAAGATGATTTTTCTATCCTCTTTTAAAAAATGAACTATTTTAATAACTTGATTATTGTACAATTTTGTAATTTTTCATAACATATATGAATATAATACATAAACAGTTTTTTTTTGTTTAACATTTTAAAATATACACATGGTTTTATCGTTGGCTACTCTCAAGAGGACGCCGCAAAGGGATTTGTCTCTATCTTACAAATATACAATATGCCAAATTTTAAGTTTACAATAAAACATTTTACTCTGGAATTACTAAAATTAGAATGAATTTACTCTTTGAAGGAAAGAATATTATCTAAGGTATCTTGGAGGATTTTATTGATATTATTATTTTTAAGTCAGAAATGATCATTTTTTGCACATTTTAAAATGATCATTTCTGACTTAAAAATAATAATATCAATAAAATCCAGTTATGCCCCACATAATATTCTTGTCTTCAAATTTTATATGAGATAAATTCACACTAATTTTATAAATTACAGAGCAAAATGTATTATAGTGAACGTACAATTTGCCATGTTGAATGTTTGTAATACAGGGACAACAAATGCCCGCGTGGAGTCCAATATTAGGTTTTATAGTAATACAATAAGTATAGTAAAATAAAAAAATAAATTACCTGATTAAGCTTTCGTTTTGTAAACTATTTCTGAAACGTAAAGATATACTTGAAGCTTTTACACCATCAACTAAAACATGATAAATAAATAAATAAATAAGCAATTTACATAAATGGTTTAAAAAACACAAACAGTTACCTCTACTTTGTCGATGTCTACGACCAGCTTCTTGAAATGAAAAATAACCTCTGAAAAATGCCCTTACAATTGCCCAGCGGAACACTGCGACTGGATCTGCACCAACAAGTTCTCGAACAAATGCCATGCTACTATTTTTTAATACACCTACGATGTCTTGTCGCATAAGATCTAAATTTTTCTCTCTCATCTCAAAAACCTAAGACATCAAGTATAAAGAGTTAACAAATTAATCTGTAGAAATAATTTAAGATTTTCTAATATATTTTACACAATTAACAAAACCACTAGCAATCTCCAAACTAAGTTTAGATCTAAATATGAATTTAACATAAGAAAACAGTAAGGTTTTTTTGTAATAATTTTAGAGAAATGAGTTGTTGTGCAAGTATTGTTTTTTTTAAGTGAATCAAACATTTATTTATTAAAGTTCAATAGAATTCAAAAATCAAGTACTCAAAATTAGTAAAAGTATTCAAATTGTGTTAAGAACTTATAAATTATCAGCAGAAACATAAATTGCAATTTTATCATTGATATGTTGCTTTATTAGGTGTTTAGTAAATATTGAATACAAATTAAATAATTTAATTGAGATATTTTTCCAATAAAATAGTTGAATACATACGTTTAGGATGTAATTGACTACTCTATACTCTAACTAGACTTGAACATTTTTTTTAAGTTGAGTACCTGCTTAAATCTTACTAAAGAAATTATATTCCAAAACATTTATTTAATTTTACCTTCACTTTCAATTAAGTAGATAAAAAACTTAAAGTTAAAAAAATAATTCAACTACACTAATTTTGTATCATCCAATAATTAATACAATACTTGTCAGTAAAATTAATATAAAAAGAACCTTTCTGAATTTGATACTACTCAGCATAATTCCTTAAATATGATTTATCATAACTTATAAAATTATAAATTATAAATAAAAATACAACAGATGAGTTATAAAAAATTGTTCATGAATTCAAAACATCTAGTAGCTTTAATTTTATCATTATTTACAACTTAAAATCGATTGATTATTTGGACTGCTGAAATATAATATCTTTAGTACAACAAATTTAAATCCGGCTATAAACTCTATTTTTATAAATATAACAATATGACGTATAATGTATTAAATTACTTGATATTTAACTCGTCCTGCATAATGTCTCACAATGAAAGCACTTTCTTTACGTTGAGGCATTTCATAGAACTTGTTATCCTTGTGAACAGAGTTAAATTTTTGTAATAATGTTTCAGAAGATGAACCAGGAAAACTAAAAACAATTGATTATAGTGAAAACACTGTACAATGTTGTGAACTATGAAATTACTGTAGGTTATTTTAAATTATGTCTAGTTTATCTGTAAACATTATTATTGCAACTACTTACTTGCATTGATCATCCAAAACACACAACAATCCATTAGGTTTGCCTTCAATCATTTGCAAACATCCAGTATTATCTAAAAAATCTATATCACTCCATTTAATTCCTTCTTTACGGTATTCTTCTTGTTCATATTTAAACACATGTTGATTGAAATAATATTGAAGATGTTCATTTGCATAGTTTATGCAAAATTGCTCAAAACTAAATAAACCATACAATTAATGTACACAAATCAAAATATAAAATTAATTCATAATTTACCTATTTGAAGTACCAAAGTCTTCGAATCCAAATATATCTAACACTCCAATTGAATTTCCTTGATGATCTCTTAAAGTATCTTTTTTTGAAAGTAATGCATGGTTTACTTGTAATACAATCCAATCAAATAAAGCGCCATATAGACATTTCGCCATTGCATCTCTAGCTGCTATAGCCTATAATATTTAAAATAATAATTTTTTTTGAAAGTGTAAAAGTATAAAATATAACTGTGATATTACCTCTGGTAACTTATAGTTAATTACTAATGTTTCTCCAGATGCTTTAGCACGTTTAGCTGTCAAAGCAGCTAACAATGTTTCCTGTTTTACTCTAAGGAGTTGTGATATTAAAAACACTATTTCAGGGTTACGTACAGCAACCGCTTCGTCATGATGGTAAGCAGATTTGCGTGGTTGAAAATCGACATTACCTAAAAATAAAAATGAATTAAAAAATATTAAGGAAAAGAATTATTACAATTATATAATTATTAATTACCTAATAATAAAACTGCTGAAAGAACTGCAAATAATCGGCGTTGCTTTTCAGGTGTAAAACCTACCATTTCCATAGATTGTTTTAATCTAGAGAATTCATATTTTTCATCTAAGTTTCCTAAAGTGTAGCATCCACTCTAAAAAATTTAACACGTTCATTTTCATTAAAGTAAAAATGAATTCTCATGTTTAAATAGATAAAAATTTTCTTACCCCATTTAAATAATTATAATAATCTACTCGGTGTAAATGTAATGCCTCTTTTTCCGAATCACTTGCTCCATTTAATAGGTAGTAAAATACATGGTAATTACGTTCATTTTGTCCCTGAGAACAAATTCTGGATTTTTCTAAAAGATATTTTTGAACAACCGCACTACAATAAAAAAAAAGAAAAATTAAAATATGTAAGATTTACTAGAAGATTTTTGAAATTAAGTATAAAAATATTTGAAATACAAGTTTAAACAATTATTTAATAAAAAAAAATGATAAGTACAAAGCATACAAAATTAAATTATTAAGAACAAGTACTTACCCATGTACCATTCCATTTTCTTTGTAATTAACTTGTATGAATTTACCAAATCTACTTGAATTATTATTATGTGCAGTTTTAGCATTACCAAAAGCCTAAATAATAACAATATATTGCAGTGTTACAAAAAAAAAGTTTTACTATTTAATAACATACTTCTAACACTGGACCAGCACTAAGTATAGTTTGTTCTACACCACTACCATGACTACCTTTCTGACTTAAAGCAGTGAGGTGGTGTAAAAGAAAATTTGTAGATTCTGTTTTGCCACTTCCACTTTCTCCACTTATCACAATGCACTGATTACGTCTTTCTCTTAACATACAATGGTACGCGGCGTCAGCAATGGCAAAAATATGAGGAGGTAGCTCTGGACCAAGTCTTCGGTTTTGATAGAGTTTAACATATTTTGGATTATAAATGGGATGAAACTAATAACAAAAATGAATATATAAATATATGCAGATAAATTTTATATTGTATTTATGTTGTAGTATTCAATTTTTTTTAGCAAGTGACTACTTATTGAGGACCTACAAAAATATAAGTATTCTAAATTTATTATTCTATAAAAAAAATATAATTAAATATTAATTTACAAGTTATTGTTACAATAAATTTGATTTATCACAATACACTTTTAAAATATGAGCAAAATATTTTTTAAAAATCATTTGTTTTCTATCACTGACTTATACTAGGCCTCGATCATTTTAGCACAGAAAGGCAACATTTCTGGAGTTTTACCGTATATTTTTTGATTAACATTTAAATATTTATACTGACCACAATATACAGTATACACTCAATAGTTTATTCAGGCTCGATTTAAGGTTTACAAATGTGTTAAATTACTAACTGTATTGAGAATATATTCTAAATCTAAAAGCTTATAAAAAATATGATGGATATTTAATTACAAAATACTTTAGATTGGCCTCACAATTAGATATCAACATTTATAAACAAAAATGTATAAAAAGTAGGTAAGTCTTATATTAATTTCTAATTAGAGACAATTTACTAAGCCAAATAGAAGTGTGGTAGATCACCTGCTAAATAAATGTCATCTTTATTAATGAAAAGCTCAAGAAATAATTATATGTTACCTTAAAAGGATTAACTGCAATTAAAATGGAACCAACATATGTATATATATGACCAGCCAAAAATCTAGCTCTTAGGTTGTCTAAAAGTGTTTGTTCATTGAGATCAGGAAGTTGACAAAGATCTGGATATTCTCGATCTTGGGGTTGATAAAGAAATCTGTAGAAGTAGTCTCGTATAAGTTGTGGGTCCATAGTGAAACCATCAGCCCACAGACTGTCTGATAGTTTTTCTCTCAAATAAAATCTGAAAATGTAACCATTAGTAATGTAATAAGTAACTAAATGTTTAGAATATTTTTTAATCTAAGTTTTACCTATAATATTCTTCTTGTTGAGTGTGCCTACGAGGTTGGGGCCATAAAAGCATAACAGCTACAGGGCATTCTGTAGGACCAAGTCTGCGTTCTTTACATTCTCGTCCAAGAGCATCACCAACCACTTCAGCTAGCTCAAATGCACTGTTGCAAGTAGTTCCACAACCCCCTGACAAAGAAAGTCGTTCCACTATACAGCTAACAATCTCATCAGAAGAAGTTTGTTTGCTAGCCTCCACACTGAGTGCTTCATAGCATTGTGATAAAGCACCCACAAACACTTGCACTATGTACCTCTGGTTGCCTTCACCCATGGCATTTAAAGTTCATGCTCTATCAATAAGTGGCATAACTTATCGAAAAAAAAAAATTATTGTGATTAAAATTTAAATTAAAGAAATAAATAAATAAAGTTATATATTATAAATTAAATAATATTGAATTAGTTTACTAAATAACTTTTTAATAATTAAATATTAGGCTAGTATTAATTATACAAAACACAAATTTTAAATACAATTATTTCAAATAAGTATAAGATAGGTAAGATAATAATATGGTTAAATTCATAAAATCCAAATCATGTGTAATGGTCTAGCTCAAGGTTGTATTCATTAATGCATATAAGGGCAGGGCTACAAAATAATTGTTTATACTTATACCTAAGTAGAGACCTGAATTGTATGCATTTTAATATTCATACTGAGTGCATGCATAACTATATGGATTCAAAATGTGAATATTTCAAATCAAGCTGATTTCATTGACAAAATTTTATTTTACATATTGATCCATTTTTGTAGGGTTAAGGCATATTTTGTTATCAGAGCATATAATTTGTATATTTTATACACTTTTAATAAAAAAATAACTCTTTAATATTTCATTGGTCGTTTTTAAAATAAAAACAAGAATTAATATGTTGATCAACATTTCCTTCAATTCCTTTTAAATAATGTCGGATATCTTTTTGATAATAAAATTTATATTTTTCTCATTTGACATAGTTTTATTTTCAATGCTATATTTATTAAACCTATGCTGCTCCAAGAAAATAAAAGGAATAATAACATGGTTACTACGTCGGTTTATGATGGATCTTTGATCAAACCCACAGAACTTACTGAAATAAAATATTAAAATAAATACATATATCATTTTTTGGTTAAAATTCTAAACATTTTTTACCAAATACAAATGTGATTTATGTTAAGTTTTCATTTATTTTATTATATCTAAAGATAATTTGGCAATACAGTCTAATTAAGATATTCTGTATTAATAATAGGTACTCCGTAGCAGAGATTAAGAAGAAAAAATGTATTAATTTTTTTTTATCCAAATTTTTAATACATAAGGTATCTCAGAATATCATGATTTTTTCATACATAAAGAGGCATATTTTAGCATTTTAATCATGTATATTTGCATTATATTTAGCATCTTTATAGTGCATAAAATTCCATTCTTTATAAAGTATTAAGTTATATAAAAAAAAAATTGTTGAATATAAGATAGCAATTTATTTGAAAAAAACCTACTCGATATGAATAAAATACTATCAAAAATTTATTGAAAATAAATTACAAATTTAAAAACAAAATATTTTGCCTACTATATTATTTTTTATTTGTTTCAATAGATTATAGGCACTAAGGTACCAAGATAACTAAATTATTTTCTAATTTCTTAATTTATTTCTATTAGTTTACTGGGTATTCTTAGTTTAACTTAATATCAAAATCAATACTTTTTTAAGCTGCAGATTCCTTTAATTTCTGTTCTTTCAAACTAGATATTATTTTAAATTTTTTTATATTTTTTTGTAAAGATTCATACAAGTTCAAAGAAACAGAATGAAAAAAAAAACATATTTTTAAAAGATTACAATCTACCTACTATTGCATAGGAATTTATAATTTATGAAAACCAAATACCTATAAACACTATCTAAATATAAAAAGATGCATAGTTATAAGTGTTACCTAGGTCCTAGGTGCTACGTAAGAGAATAATATCAAGAATACTTGTGGCTTAATGAGTTGAATATTACCCAGGCATGAATATGAAAATCTAAAAATAACCAGTTACGACGGCAGTCTACTACTTACAAGGATAGTAGGATACCTTTGTTTAGTCTAATATAACAATCTTAAGATTATTACACCTTTAGGGGGATTCTAACAAGTCAATACAAGATTAATTAGGGACACCGTTAAGTGTTTATATTAACAAGCAGCTACAAAAAACGTTGGTTTGATGGGAACTACCTTACACAATGCGTATACTATCAGTCGAGCCTATATTAAAACACAATGGTCCCGGGGGGGAAGTGTAGGAAACTTAAGATCCATACCGACGGAGGACGGTCCCGCTAGTTGCGTACCGACGTCGACGATGGATCGCGCCACCACGGACGACCTCCGACTCTCAAGAGTGTCTGTCGTCGGAACAATATTGAATCCGATCGATGATAAGACGGCCTCGTCCGGATGTTTGATCGTGCGTCAATCGCTATCGGATAACGACGTGTAGTCTACAAACGCAGACGGACGACGGTACGACATCTCGCGCGCAACGACGGTTGTCAGAGCGTTCCGGGTCCGGCGACGAGATATCCTCAGCGATCGAAGATCCTCTTTCCGCGAAACCGTTCGGGAAACCACAAAAAAAATCAATTTTTGTACGCACTCACTACACTATAGACCGCGACGACGGACACTGGAGGAACACAAACGAAATAAACGAATGATAATGATGATGATACGGTTATATTCACTTGTTGGCGTTTTTCTGCGTGTACCGTGAGTGTGTGTGCGTGCGTGCGCTACATCGTTTTGAAAATGATAATACCAGAACGTACGTAATCACTAATCACACGGGGGACACGTCCATAGAAGAGAGATTATGCCTATAGTCTCTGATACTTCCCGCGCGGTCAACCTGTTGGGGGGGGGGGTCCGGATCTCGCTTCGCTCGTTTTATATTTCTTTTTGCCTGATTTTCTTTTTCCACATCCGACACGACGCGCGATCTCCTCGGAAAAACGGAAACGTCGGAAACCGATTAGGTAGATAAAATTGTTCAATGATTCGAAAACACGGCCGCGCATGCGCCGATGGATGAACGGTGCGGCGACAGGCGATCCGTCGCGTGATACGCCATACGCCCCAATGCCCCATAGTCCATACCCGTGTCCCATGATACACCATACGAGTCTATTTATCTGCTCTGTAGTTCACCATTTCTCCAGTATGTGAACAGCCACGGTCTGCGCGTGCGTCAAGCTCAGGCATTTTCCCACGGCCGGAGAATATTTTTCATTTCGAAACGTGTACCTACTCTATATACTCCATGGTCTCTTATATGCACTATAATAATGATTAGTGGACTAGTGAAGTCGTGAATAGAGAATACTTACCTAATAGCCGAGTAGGTTATAGTTATACACCCCTTTCCCTGTTAGACGCAATCGTATTTTTATATTACCTACCAGCTGCTATTTAGTATTTACTATTTTAGTCTAAAAATTATTATAATATCAAATTTGTATTAATTGTATTATGTCATTACAATATACATAATATTATAATATACATATATAGGTAGTTTGATATTATTATTTGATACCTATTTATTAAGAGGTACTAACTATACTTACTCCTTAAGTAGGTTTCCAGTACCTATTACCTTTTCCTGCAGTCTTATACCTATTAGGTACCTACTTATAAATAGTGGTAGGCCCCTACAGCAGTCAGTAGACAAACAGTAGCCACTATTATGAGTATAGTACTGTATTATTCATTTATAATGTTTGACATTTTATTGTTATTCACTATTCACTATCGTTATTTACTATTGTTTTCGTTTTACCACGTTATTTTGTTTCGGTGGCTGTTATAACAGGATGACCAATTTTTTGACAATCAAAGAATTTGGTCTTATTTAATATATTTTCACGTACATCACATCCAATACTGGCAAAACGCAATATATTGGAAAACAATTGCTTGGCTTGGCCTTTTTCTCAAACAAAAAAATAAATATGAAATAATTATATTTTTTTTTAATAATCTATGAGTTTGCAATAAAATAAAATGTGTATTTAGTAGGTAGACTACCTTGTTTCTACTATCAGACCACCAAAATTATTCAACATTTTTATTGGTAGATATAACTTCCAATTTATGAGGAGGTCGGTATAAGGTATAACTGGGAAGTTAATTTAACTATTGTGAGTTGTAGGAACTATATATTATAACCTACCTATTTTCCTTTACTATTTTCAATACCAAGGTTCTACTTCTACTTTTTTATAATAATCGACCGTCATTTGTATTTTGCACTTTGCTGTGTATACTTATGTTTGTATGTCAGTTATTTCTTATTATGACTTGAAATTTTTAACAAATATTGTTGTATAACCTTTTACTAAACATGACAATAATGTACCTTCTGTTTTTGTGTTATTTATTAAAGATTTTGGGATTGTTTTACTATTTTTCTCAAAGTACCTAGGTGTTAAAAAGAAATGTTATGTCGAGTAAAAAACAAGACAATTTAAAATAAGATCCCACATTTTAAGTTTGTTTTTAAGTGTTAAAAATTCAAATTTTAAAATAATAAAACACGTTAATGGACAAAATATTTTTATAATTCTTTTTTTTTTTTTATTATATAAATAAATTTACAATCTGTAATAAAATAAAACAATAAGTAAATGTGAGATTTTTTTTAAAAGGTTTAGAGGCTTGACTGAAGGGTGCGTCCATTGACACTACTTCAAACTGGTTTTTTTGTAATTATTTAGCGAAGTAAATCACGAGGCCAATTTCGTTTTAGTCGACGGGGAGGGTTATCCGGGAGAGTCTTAGAGGAGAGGTTAGAAATTAGCGGGTTTGGATGATTATTTGTTTTGGAATGCAATTTTTTATAGTGTGTTGAAGCGAGGGTGAGATTTTTATAGTTACAAATTTTTTAAAATGTTCAATTTATAAAGTTTATATTTGTCCTTTTGAAAAAAATAGGATAGAAAGTCCGGATTCATTTTTTTTAGTGTCGAACAAAAACCGTTGGAATTAAACTAGGACAACTATGTTGTTGGAGATTTCAACAGACTCGATGGCGAGTATGTTAAACTAACAGAATTTAGAAGTATTTAAGTAAATTATAGTACCTAATATAGTGAGTTGCTCCACACTACGAAAAGTAATGTGGCATATAAACGTAAAATCGCAAACGTTGGAAGGCTATAACTCCCAAAATAATGATTTACGTAAAAAAATTCAGACAGTTTAAAAATAAGAATTGAAAAACACAAAAAAAAAAATTAAAATTCGTGATGGGCGTGCTGCAGGTAAAATGCATTTTAGCCAAACAAAGAAAAGATAACGATTTTAGTTATCTTGTTGCAATTCAAAAATATTATTTTTTGGGTTTGGAAATTTTTAAGTATACTATTATATTTATTATTTTACTAGTTGATCCTGGCACTTATTGGTTGCCCGTTAAATATAGCAACTCTATATGATTCAAACTTTGTTCAATTCGAAACAAATTCACTTTAAGTAGTACCAACCATTTTTTTTTTTTTTTTTGAACCGAGTATTTTAACGAGTTAGGAACGATGGAGTAAAAAATATATGAAATACTGAATTGAAATTAAATTACAATGAAAATTGTTTGAGGAGAATTCATTATTTTAAGTTATGTAAACTGTGAATATACTCCATGTCGTAAAAAATTGAACTTCGATCATTCATACAAAAATGCATGTACCTATAACTTTTCTATTTAAATGTCCAGGTCTTAAATGATTAAATAAGAAATTGAATTATTTTTTACCACCAAATACCTTATTAAAACATGTTTTGTTACTTTGACAAATTGCGTAAAAAAATTGAATTGTAAACACTTATAAAATAAAAAAATTGTGATTACATATTTTCGATATTTTTTATGTACGGTAAGAACCAATCATATGGACATGGAATCTTGTATTTGTTTTTTTCGAGCTTTTTTCTTCGGATTCAAATATTGAACCATACATAAATTGATAAATTGAAAATTAAAATTAAAATTCAGTCCAACATTTTAAATTTCTAGTAATCCATAAAAAGAGAGAAAGTTTTTTGAAAATTAATTCCTCTCATGTTTAAACAATGCAAGTATAAATACAAATATAGGGTTACAAATTTAAGTCTCTTTATTTATAAAATTACAAAATGATTACAGCAATAGTTTTCAAAAGCCGAGGAAAAAACAAAAAAAAACTAAGATTTTTACACAAAACGAGTTTTTGAAAAAATCGATTTTGTTTTTTATCGTAACTCTAGAACAAATTAGCGAATACCGATAGATGAAAATCTAACATTAGCTAACATAACATTTAGCTTCAGTTCATTGTAAATAATATCAGTATAGGTATTATTAAAACACCTATTACTGCAGCCATGCAGGACAACTTAAATAAAAAAGTTGTGACATAGTAAAGAAGGCAGGATGCCAGGATGTAAACTTCTGCAAAATTACCCTTTTTTAAAAAGTTGATATATAAGTTGCAGGAAAAAAGAAATAACTTATATAAACTGCTACAAAACTGATGATACCAATTAAGTATTAACTGCGACAATTTATTTTATGTACCTAAATAGCCTATAGGTTATACTACCTACCTTCAAATTTCAATCATATACTTTCATTCTCATATACATATACTTAATTTATATATATATATATAGGTATATCGATACGATAACGTCATATAGGTACCTACTTGGGTAGACAGGTAGTCAGATAGGTGTGTGTAATGTAGATTGTAGGTACAACCTATATGGTTTAATTATTATTCATGTTATATTGCGCAGTGGCGTTTTGAACTGAAAATTAGTTAGGTAAATTCAAATGTATATTTAAGTGTTTACGTAACATATAGTAAATTAACAATTATTGGTTCCGTTACTTGTGAGAATATACTAAGTACCTATCTACTCTTTTACTGAAATAAAATGTCGAAGTTTGTATGATAAATATATTAACGGTTTTGTCGCAGATTGCATTATATAACATTTTTAATTGCCGTAGTTCACCATTTTTCAAAAAAGACAAATTTTGCTTTCCAATAGGAGGTACATAGCGAAGAGATGCAGACATGCAGGGAAGAGATATTCTAAAAACAAATTCAAATTTGATGTCAAGTTTAAATGAGACCGGATAGTCCATTTTTTTTTCGCGAAGCAATGCGAACTAAAACCGAAAAAAGTCCATTTTTCTAAATACACCCTAATTTTGATTTGAAAGTTTACAGAATATTTTTCAAATGTTATTCATTACTTAGAAAAGAATAACTAACATTAAATGGAAAAAAGTGGCCAGTTGGTCGGTCTCACTTCACGTTGGATTCAAATCTGTTTTTATTATCCTTATCGCTTCACTTCCGTCCGACCGTACTGGTGGAAACTATAGTGGGTGGATTTTACTATGATGCATCATGCACGTGTGAAAGACGAAAGTCCCATATTAACAACCCATAATCTTTATAATAAAGTAATAATGTGTTCGATACCTCTTTTAATGCATTTAAAATGTCAAGTATTTCATAATGATTAATGGTGAATTGCCACAACACTTTTAAGACGACCGGGGTCTTAGGCAACGAGTTTCAGACCATTTGTCCATTTATCTATGACTGTCGTAAAATATTAACCTTCCGCCGGCGCTGATTGTAATATATTTTATACAATATTGTATATTTGTTATTTGCACATTTTCAAAGTCTATAAACAACAGTATCTATTTATAAACTGGAACTAA